TAGTAGTAGGTTTGGCTTAAAAGTCGAACATGGTGTGCTACATAACGTTGATCGCGTGGTGCTATGTAGTCAGGTATACACGGGTACGAGTTGCAGAGCAAGAATATCATGTATGACGATAGCCCCAAAAACAATATTCCACTCATTCTCACATGATAACGGGCTTGTATAACCTTTCAGTTTAATAACCCCAACTAAATTATGGGTAATGTCCTGTTACCCAAGAGTAACAAGCCAATTGGGCAATCAAATTATTCGCTCACCGGCATTTTGCAGCCATTCAATATTCACCATTAAAAATCTTCCTGCTTATTAGTATTTATTAAAACATTTTCGTCTATTTTGCTATCATGAGTAGAGGATATGTACATTATCGTTTTTCAGGTTCATCGCAGTAGCTTCCAAGTCATACAAACTGCCGCCGATCCGGAGAAAGCAGCAGACGGCCATTTCGCGTTATCGGGACTCGTCGGTGATGTCCAGTCATTAGCTCAGTCAGAGTCCAAAACTATAATTAATAACAGCTTGCGCCACTAGGCCGCATCTCATGCCAGTATGCCACGGCAGACCTCGGCAGACCACCATGACTCGTAAGTTAACAGTGATATACCAGTGACATACCACGACACAGTCTCCGGCGCCATGCAATGTCCGAACGTTGCAGTGGTTAGGGTTGGCCCCATAAGATCACCACTTTGTTAACAGCAGCTATATACAGCATAGCATCTAGAAGCTGATGGGCAAAATCTTTATGTGAGGATTTAGGCTAGTCTGTCCTACTTGAACCCTACTGAGTTTAACACTCAGTAAAAGTTAATTTATCTTGACCGGTATATCGACCAGCTTTAGTTGTAGTGAACAAACTTTTTGATACCCTTTGCTTGGTTCCGGTTTAGGCGCTCGAGTTAGGTGCTACATAGCCCTGTGGTTGCCTAATCAGCAAGCACTCACTACTTCGGAACATTTCAAATTCAAGTCTGAAAGAGTTTGGTACTGACTCAGCGCTCTTTAGCTGGATTTGCAACTAGCTTAAAGTGGGACATTTCACATACCATCTCTTATGTAATTTGGCTACAGCTTTACCAGGCACCATACAACACAGTGTGGCATAAAAATTCTGACTCTTTCCAACTTTTTCATCGGTGTAAACAACGCACTTCATTTCCTTACAAAGCATACATAGCTGAGAGGACCAGTGCCCGTGGGACTTGCGGTGCTTCCTGGCATAGAGAACGAAATTAATTGTGTCACCAAGTCTACTTTCTAACATTTAGCAGTGTATGAAAATCTCGGGAGAAATTTCCTGATTTGAACTTCAGTTGCATTTACATTCGCCTTTTCGATGTGATTGATTCGAGTTGCGCAAACGCTCGGGAATATCACTATCTGTTAATATCCTCTTCGGATCGTTATTTACTTCTCCTTTCAAGACTGCGAACAACAGATCGTTGTCGGATAATCCATCTGGTAGCAGCTGTTATTCATTAAAACCAGGAGGGGGCATTCTTACATCTCAGTTGGGCTGATATTATTTACTTCACTCAGCCGCACTGCGTGTGCTTATTAACTAACAACGCTTCTTGAGGCTTTCTGAGTTTCTCCGTTTTCGATCCACAGATATGCTGTATTTTTACTAACCATGTATGTACATGACAATAAACAGTAAAACAGGTAACATAGATTAAGGTGAATCGATTTATACTATGCACTGATCAGCAGACCAATGTGCTATGCTGTGAGTACTAATAGTTCTTCTGCATGACAATCAAACCACTCCGTGAGCTGTGCAATCTCCTGAAGGTAAGGTTAGGCATACGCCAACATATTATGGTTGGGAATGTAGTGAAGCTGATAGGTTTACCTGCAGGCCAGTTGGCATTCATCTAGCACGTACTGTCGGCACAAGTTCTATCGAAGATAAATGGCAGCTGCACTGAATCGTTTGCGCAATACAGCGACAAAGCGAATGTGTGCTAAATACATTAGAATGACGGTAAGGCCACTGAAAGGAATATTGTATGGATAAACACACTAGCTTAAACAAATAGCTAATTACTCATTAGAGGGAGCATTTTGAAGTAACAGTTGTGTGAATGTATTGCGACGAGGAATCCCCATGTGGACCGCAATACACATCGAAGTGAACCTTGGTCGAATCGATCACTGGGACCGTAACCGTTGGAGTAGACGAATATTGTATGTCGCTTGATCCAAGAAAAGGCTTCCAACTTGTTTGCTCTTATCAGGTTGAGTTGACAGACACTAGGTTACTTAAGGATAGAGATCTTGACTGGCATTCCAAATGTCCCGGGTTTGAGTGCCTGCTACCTCTAGCTGAAGAGATCAAAAATTCGCAACCGATGGTGGAGTGGGGTGTTTTCGTGTGAGCAACACCAATAACTAATGACCCACCTAAACACAGTAACTATCATCCAAAGTTCATCCCAGCAATGCTTCAATGTTTTTCGCTCCTCATGTGCAAGTAGGTGTCACGTGTTGAATAATGAGCAATGACTGTTGCTGGTTCAAAACGTATTGATTTGCATTTGCGCGTATGCACGCCTAACTGCGCTACCTATACTGTAACCCGCTCCACGTTACTTGTTGAGTATACTACACTGCTTCCACGTTTTCCTTCAGTTGCCAACTTACTACGGCTAAAGTTCAGTCTTGACATCTGGCGACGGAGGTGGGATAACATGTCTGGGCCGAACATGCCACAAATCTTCTAGTCCTGTTCTATCGACAAACAGTCTTTGGCTAATTGGACTCAATGGCGAAATACTTTTCTTGTTCATCTGGATTTGCCTCCCATCTTGAATTCGGCAGTAGCCCTTTCAGAGAAACACAAAGTAAAACTTTTATGCCAATTCCTTAGGAATGAAGGTCAGAGATATTTTGACGCACCTCGTATTGACGAAGTCTGCCCTACTATAACTAGTGCCTTGGATACCTTCATCGCTCTTTGCGGAGTTCGCTAAACTGTCCTTACATCTAGATACTTCTGGTCCAAACTCATCCAAAAACTAGAGGAAAGTGTAAATGAATTCATCGCTCGTATCCTCCAAACGGTACCAAACTGTAAATACAATGAAACTGATCCAGCTAGGTTTGAAAAGACCATGTTGCTTCAATGCCTGATCCCTTGGATTTCAGACCAGAGCAGCCGGGAGAAAATCATTTCACAAGATTATTTTTGGCTGACGTGGGAGGCAATCTGCCTGCTTACCTGGCAGAGGGAAAACCTTACTCAGCACCTAATAACGCTTACTCTGAACGACCAGCGGAGGATTTGCGATTGGTTCATGGCAGTCCAAAATCTAAGAAGACATTTGATAACGTCAGTCCGTTAGCATGCTATCGCTGTAGAGAGCGCCATAGTTTTCTTTCGGACTGTCGACATCAAAAGACAGTATGTAGAAGTTGCGGGAAGATTGATCAACTGGCGCGAATATACAGATTGGTCCAACGTCGTTTGGGCGAGACTTATCGGGGAACGAAGCCCATTAAAACAGTGGACGTGTCAGAGAGAAGTGAGTCCGAATTACATTTCATATGGTCGAATACACTTCCAACAGGCGGCCCGCACCGTACCTCCTACAGCTTTATATTGAGGGAAAAAGGTGCAGATTTAAATTGATACGGGAACATCAAGGATGATAATTAGAGAAAAGGCTGTGAAAAGGTTGCCGCCCCCATCAGGTTTCAATTCTGTTCTCCGCACGTACACTGGTGAACCGATACGTCTCCTTGGTAAATGTTTGTTAAAGATAAAATACCCAGACACTTCCTGTATATGTGGTCTTCGGAGATCGCCCAAATCTGCTTCGAAGGGACCGGATACGCGCAGTTCCGGATACACTGGAGGTAGTAGAAACAGTCACTTAGGTTCCAGGGCTTAAAACATTACTAAAGTAATATTCAGCGGAGTTTGCTGAGAGGCTGGGGAAAACTGAAAGCGTTTCTGGTTTCGATAATGTTAAGGGAAAACACGGCCTAAATTCATCAAGGAACTCACACTACTGTAGGCTATGAGGCCTAAAGGGGAAGAAGAATTAACCCGCTTACAAAACCAAGGTACTGTTATTATCCCTGCACAAGTTTCTGATTAGGGTACATCAACTGTACCTGGAGCCAAGCCACACGGCTCCATATGTATTTGGTGACCACAAAATGACTGTTAACCAAACTTCTATGTTTGTCAGATATCCCTTGCCACACTTTGAAAATTTGTACGCAATTCTGGCTGGTGGTGAAAAGTTTACCAAGCTTGATCTCAGCCATGCATATTCACAGATTGAACTTGACGAGCCTGCCAGGAAGCTTACTACTACTACCACACACATAGGATTTTTCCAATATACCCGTTTGTCTTTTGGCAAAATTCTGTCCTCGGTATCCTCCAGAGGAGTACCGACAACCTGGTGAAGGATATACATTTCGCCTGTGTTTTATCTGAACAATATTCTTATTTTGGGGACACTGTGATACGGAACATCTTCAGACACTAGCTGTTGTGCTCAAGCGACCAGAACGAAGCGGATTTAAATTAAAGAAATACAAATATGACTTTCTT